AATATGGTAAGCTATTATTTAAGTAGGCCTACGATCAGTCCATGACCTTAGTTTAAATCTATAGAAAAAAAAAAACAATCACAAACACAGACTTGTCATCATTACAGAAACATATAATCTTTGGGTAAATAAAAAAATGAAAGTGATAGTTTCACTTATTCAATGATATTTTCTTGATTTTGTATATTTGCATTGTTGGTAAAAAAACTTGGTAACGATCTTGTTAGAGTCTCAATATGTCACAGTATGATTGTTTGAGCCAGCAAAATAGACGATAAAAGTAATGTAATTGTTACCTCTCTTTATTTTTTTATACAATGGTGATGTTTCAATGTTACAAAGGGAGATAACTAGAATGGTAAGGCAAAATTCTTCCAATGAATTACTTCCCATAAATCAGTTAAATTGGCGGGAAGTAAGTTTTTAATAATTAATTGTATCATTTAACTCCCCTTTCATTAAGTTGTGTTATTCATTATAGGACATTTATAATTTTCTAAATAGCGTATATATTCATAATCACATTACAGTGACGTTTATTTTTTCGATTCCGATACAATTTATTTTAGTGTAGTAACATTTCATATAATTATAGATTTCTAATTATTCTCAGTAGCTTGTAACTCATTTTATTGATTGTAGATAAAAATATGTACATTTTATGAAACAACACTTAATGTTTTATTTCATTTCTTCGAGGTACATAATCTTGTTATTCAACTTATTCAATGTTTTCGTGCAAAATGAAATGAAAGGGAGCACATCCTTTACGTTTCAATTTCAAGACGATAGTGTCAATCCCATAATTCCCAATTCGAGCAAACGTCTATGACATCACCAAAAAACGACGTCAACATAACAACGACGTCAGATGAAGTGTCATTAAAAATTCATATGGTAAACCATGGGAATTTGTTTAAGTGTACCCGAAAGTGACATTAGTGACCGTGACGAGACAGAGAACGACTGGGATAGCCACAGTGATGACGAGGTTGCAGAAAATGGTAGGTACTGACTGTTAATTTGAAGCATAACTATATACCGGCGATCGGTCTGGAAATTTAAAGAGGGTTAACCTGCCTATAAAATACCGAGAACAGCAAAGCGGTCTTTAAGTTTAAGCTAAATGGTGACATTTGATATACATTTAGAATATATAATTCTCTTGTTTTTTCCGTGTAAAAAAATCCGTTTAAATTTGATTCTTTGTGAACTGGAAAACTTCACAGACCATAACTTTATTCCTTCTTAGTCCCCTACTTTTTGAAGATTTAATTCACAACTGTTCATTAATACATGTAGCATTAAAAATCCTGTATGTTGTAATTGAGGTTGTATACTATTGATTGAAGTTAAAGCTTAATGAGGGTCCATCCGCCCTTTCGGGCACAAAATGCAGCTTTCGATGTCGAGTACGGACCCCGGACATGTCACCAGTCATGTCCTTAAAGAGTTAATTTTGAAGCACAAAGTGGTGATAATTTACCTCCATGCAATTTCCACGGAGTATTAGCCAAAGATATGAATTTTGAGCCAAAAGTAGGTCACTGTACGGCGGTCAATGAGAACCTAAATGTACAGTAACCTGTGACAATAGGAAAGGTTAGCCCTGAAAAGGGCTGTTTGTGCCAGGAAAAGGCCTGCCGTTCAAGCCGTCTAACCGTGCTAGGGGCTCACGCACCCTAGCACACCGTCCTCGTCGACCCAAGCGCCTACTTTGTAGGGCCACTCCCCTCGGCATTAGTCAGGACACAGGCACCTGGTCCGCAGTTGTTGACTAAGTAGCGGTTCCGTCTTTAACGCCCACGGATGCTTCAGTTTAAGTTAGCCACCAGCCAAACTGTAAATCTTCTGCCGATGCCCTGTGCCTTCTCAGCGACGCGCACGCTCCGAAGGGGAAGTGAGAAGAGGTTGAATAACACACTTAAATGAAATTATATATATGTATATAATTATGCTTATACATTGTATAACAATTTTCAAACATCGGATAATTTGTAAAATATGTGCTGCAATATTTGTGCATATTATATGTTATCATTAAAATATATGCATTCATTTCTTATTGAAAATTTTGACTGAATCTTTATAGAAAATAAAGTTTTTATTACCTCCCTTTATTTACATGAAATGTTAAATTCTGTAATATCTTTATAAATAATGCTTTTTTGAACTTACAAAAATTGATAAATCTTAATTTGAGCCTCATATTTATGATATAAAACCATAAAAATTGTGTTACAGGATCTTTAAAACAGGGGATAATAAGCAGCCTATATATCTCTGTATTTATTGCATGTTAAAATATTTATGCATTTAATTGATCTAAATTTTACATATTTTCAGGTTTTATTACTTTTTCCTAGTCATTCAGTTTTATTTTTGCACTGCGCATAATTGCCCCAATAAATCTGGGGTGTTAAAGTAAGGAAATGGAAATCGACCGAACAAAGAATATTTACGTTTTATTTTCTGTTTTTAAAATATCTAATTTGCCGTTAACCCATTTCCTTAAAAGAAGACGGCTAAATATATAAGATATTATAAGATAAGATAATGTATAGACAAAAATCTATCATTGTTTGTTTTACAATAGTGGAATTAAACCAAAAGAATTGAATTACACCAAAAGAGGAAATATTATCAACAATTACGCGTTTAATTTTTCAGCATTTGCACACTACATTTATATTTCTTTTTATCTTATCGACGTAAAATATATAGAATAAACTGTATATCTATGATTTATCTATACAAGCGTTTTGTAAACAAGATAAGAACTGTATAATACTGATAAAGAACGCTGGACTGACACGCACATATAGACTGAAATAGGGAAATATATTTAAGGATTTTTTTTTATGTTCTGGGATCAGAAACAGACAAAATAGGTAAGCATCACATCTCGAAATAAATGTAAATACTAATACTTATTTTACTTTATTTCCTAAATAATACTTGCTTATTTATTTTTCACTTTAATGCATATGTAATATAACTGCAACTGCACAAAATCCATTGAAAGTAATTTCTCAAAACAAAAGATTTTTAAACGTCCGTGGCAATGTATGCTTAATGGAAGCTTGTTTTTTTTGCGATTCATCGAATGTATTTGTTTTCCATTTCCACGCCATCTACGTTTATAAGTTCAAAATAATGTCTAAAAAATACATTCATGTATTTTGCAATATAAACGTTTTCATTTCATCTAAATTTCTGTGTCTTAAAATTTGCAATTAACCGATGAAGATGCAACTTTTTATGGTGGGGAGCAAACTGTAATGGGTTGGGCAAAGATCCGACAGTCAATCCTGAAAAAAACTTAATTATACCGTTTGTTTAAGTTGTATATTTTATTGGTTTATGTGGGAAAATGCCATATTTAGAAAGGTCAAAGAAAAAGGCACATACTGTAAAAATGTTGACCTGTCCGTATTCCTGTTATCCTTGTCTTTCAATAACTTGAGAAGGTCTAAGTCATGGTTTATGTCACTTGGATCCCTATTGATTTTGAGGTCATTAGATTTAAGGTCAAGGTTAATATAAAACCGTGTTATTTCTTTGTCCGCTCATAGGTATGTAGGAACATTGCATATGGTCCGCAGACCAGATCAAGAACACAGTGACATTTGTACAACATATACACGTACACTCCTTGTTCGATTAGTACTTAACAAAAAAAAATGACATTGAGTCATTCGCTCAAGGTCACAGTGACACTTCGTATAATATCCTCATTTGAACAATAAATGAGCCGCGTCGCGACAAAACCAACATAGTGGGTTTGCGACCAGCATGGATCCAGACCAGCCTGCGCATCCGCGCAGTCTGATCAGGATCCATGCTGTTCGCTTACCAAATCTATTACAAGTAGAGAAAATGATAGCGAACAGCATGGATCCTGATCAGACTGCGCGGATGCGCAGGCTGGTCTGGATCCATGCTGGTCGCAAACCCATTATGTTGGTTTTGTGGTGACGCGGCTCAAATTAAGAAATAATAAAACATTGGCCATGACCAGTAGGTGGCCCCTATTGATTTTGATGGTTAAGGAGCATTTATTTCGTGCACACAATATAATTAAAATCCATGCTGAAGTTTCTTGTAAATAATTATCTTAAAGACATTTATGAATACCTCGAGTAGTTAATGAAAACCCTAAACTAATAACCAGAAGTATGAAAATATGCCATTGTGACAGGTGAATGAAATGGGGGGGGGGGGGGCATTAGTGTGGTATGGACATCTATTAGTTCATTTGTTGAAAAGCGACCCAATTTCTTTGAAGTCTACATAACAAGCGTTAATTATTAGAATACACAATGTAGACGGTGAATCAAGTACAGTTTGGCATTGCTATGCCATGATTGTGGGGCCTGGTACAGTCCAAGAGAGGCCAGTTCAAACCCTATACTAGGTTATAGACCAAAATGTGATCCGAAATGAAGTTGCTGGCGTTATACCAATTACGTTGACAAGGTATATCTTAAGTGTACTTGACTCTCCCGATTTTAACCAGACCGGATTACCATTGGTGCTTCCGCGCTTCGCCAGGTCCTAATATAGTAAAATTCCCTCGAATCAAATACAAGTTTCAGATCAAAATATTCCGATTATAATCCAATTGTATTCAACCGTAACGGCAGAGCAAATTACAAGCAAACAACTTCATATCCAGTGTGGCAATACCACGTGACATTGACGTCATTTTCGGCATCATTTCCAAGACAAATGTTGCTCGATTCGGAAAAGAAAACAGCCGTAAATATTTTATTTCTGTACCAATTTCTTTGGGATATGCACCAGTCTACGGGGAAAAATATAAGCTTTCCATAGAATATTGGATCTTCGTCAGTATATAAGCCGTTTTATCAAACACTTTGCCTAACCTTGGAAGTTGCTTGTTTTAGAGCGGGCTTCAGTTGCAAGCTATTTCGTTTTCTGGCGTTATCTGGTCTACGCCATGATTAAAAAGTCAGGTTTACATCAACCGGGAGTACGGAAGGCAAAACTCTACCTAAATATGTTCATTTTTTTATTATGAATGACATAAATCTTACATTTTTCTTCAATTGTCAAATCTGGCACCAGTTCCAAGTCGAAAAAAAAGGACTACAGTTTAAAGCCGATTTTAGAATCCGTTGCAAATGCCTACCGTTCTCTTTCTATAATTATGTTAACCATGAAAAACTTTTTATTTTCTATACAATTTACATAAACACAAATGAATATTTAAATAATTTTTCCTCGCTGCGATATTGAAGTGATTTTAAAAGTAGTAAAATTGTTGTCTGTACTGCAGTATTTGTAAAGAAATTGATTTACTCTTTAATCATTGTTCTTTCACGGTAATGATTATGAAACATTTATTTGTGTCATGTAGCAATACTAAACATGGAATAGAAAACAGAAACCCTAAATTTCCCCTAAAACGGCAAAACTGAAAATGTTTCAGGCTCTGATTGACTTAGCTAGCCTGTCCAATGAACGTGCACATTCCGGATCACTTCGATTTGTATGCTGTAAAAAGGGTTACGCCTCGACGCGGCAATTTTAAAGTCAAATGTTATTCTTTTGTAAAGAGCCTTTGTATATATATATATATATATATATATATATATATATATATATATATATATATATATATTATATATATATATATATATATATATATATATATATATAAAGAACCTGTAGCAATCTTTTAGTATGATAGGTTAAGCTTTTTAAACACAGTGGCACTCGTTGATAAAAAATATTTTTATATCCTGTTTTCATACCCACGGTAACCGTTTTCGTGAACTGAATATAACTTCGTTAACTTAAGAACACTATTAAACACTATCTATTTTATAATTGCATTTATTTCTGTTGATGAACTGCATATCTGACAAATTTAGTTAATTATATCAGTCAACTCAGCTTTATCAGAGAGCTCACCAAGATACATTGTAAAGAGAGGAAGGGAACGGAATATTTGTGGTTTGAAAACATCGAGTAGAACTTTTTTAACAATAATGTCTCTTTCAACTGAATAAAAACGATAGGGCTATTTGGGACTATTTCTTATCGATGTGGCCATTGGCTGTAAATGCATGGATTCTTGCACGCGGCATGACCTGCAAATGTCCTAAACAGGCTTTTTGTAGCATTTTAAGATTAAAAAAAGATCGCACATTGAAATCTAAAACATGATAAACGTGACGCATATACTAAATAAGTGAATTATCTGATATGTAAATAAAGAAGTAAGTCATTTGACAGTTGAAGGATAAGAATTGAAATTACTCTTCAAATGTAATCGTAATTTTACTAAGCTTATGTTAGCTATCAATTATTCAATGGACGCATCAGTGGCATATGGACCCCAGTCATAGATCTTGCCGATGTTGCTATTACAGATGTTAATGTAAATATTTATATAATTATTGATAATCTTTGTTATTTCCGTCTTGTTGAATGTTTTTGTTTCAAGAAATTTGATTTTGATCGATGGATGTTGGTTTGTAAATCATTTATCTGTTAACTATTTTCTACTTTGTTTACTCCACATGGCGTCCATTCTCGTTCTTATTCATGGCTATTTTGGGTCTTTTTGATAATAGAGAATTATAAGCAATGCAACTAAGTAACAATTCTATCAGATTTTACAAGGCAAAGTTCCAGTTCAAATTGTGTTTTAGTTTATCAACATTATAGAACTTTTATTATACAACAATTCCAGAAAAAATATATACCTTTTAAAGTCTCTCTTTTGAGGACAGAAGAACCTGTTCGTCACATTCACGAGTGTCAGTGTTTGTCAGAATAAACTGAAAAAATACCTTTAGCTTAACAACACTCGCGTTAAAGTGTAACCCTTTCCATATCATACAAAAGTGTTTTTATATTAACTCTTTCTCTCACTGAGAGCACATATATTTCTTATCAATTTCGCCATTGTGAAATAGAATAAAACACATTTAACTACATAGGAAAAGATGAGCAATACTTTAAACATCTTCAAAACGAAACCAAACATTATTTTCCGACAGGACTAAATCTACGTGATTTGACGTGCACTATTGCGATACAAGTAAGTGTTGTTGCTTTAAGGAACAATCAGTTTTTTCATAATCTCTCTGTGAAAGATCAACAATGAAAAACTAAATTGTAGAAAGAGAACGGTAGGCATGTTGCTTCGCATTTGCAACGGATTCTAAAATCGGCTTTAAACTGTAGTCCTTTTTTTTCGACTTGAAACTGGTGCCAGATTTGACAATTGAAGTAAAATGTAAGATTTATGTCATTCATAATAAAAATATGAACATATTTAGGTAGAGTTTTGCCTTCCGTACTCCCGGTTGATGTAAACCTTACTTTTTAATTATGGCGTAGACCAGATAACGCCAGAAAACGAAATAGCTTGCAACTGAAGCCCGGTCTAATACAAGCAACTTCCAAGGTTAGGCAAAGTGTTTGATAAAACGGCTTATATACTGACGAAGATCCAATATTCTATGGAAAGCTTATATTTTTCCCCGTAGACTGGTGCATATCCAAAAGAAATTGGTACAGAAATAAAATATTTACGGCTGTTTTCTTTTCCGAATCGAGCAACATTTGTCTAGGAAATGATGCCGAAAATGACGTCAATGTCACGTGGTATTGCCACACTGATATCGGATGTTATACTCGCTGGTAGGAAATTACGGGCTTCCTTGACGTTGCTTCTCATTTGTCCATGTAATACAGTGAGTATATAAATAATACTAATAATAAATGTTATGAATATAACTGTAGGCAGGTTTAACTTTTAATACATATTCTGTAACTGAAGGTACGACGGCAAGTGCAAGTGACTTAAGTCGGGATGGGGAAGATGGCGCCATGTCTCGACGAAACAGCGCCACACAAGAAAATGCCACGAGCAAGGTAAGTGGTAAAGCCGTAAGAAACGTATTATGGCATTTCAGTCAATTGTTTTTCAGCAAAATTCGTTTTAAAAATTCGATTATTAAGTTTCCTGCTACATAAAGTTTCTTTATTCAAATAAAATATACACTGTACCATTAAAACCTATATACATGTTGAAAAGTCGCAACAACGGCAGTGGAAAGGTTAAAGGCACGTTATGCCGATTTTTTTTTATTCTTTAGAAATGGCAAACATAAGTTTTATAATGTTTAAATTACTTTAAAAGTGCATTTTAAATGCTTATTCCTTAAGAAATTAACACTGAATGTGACATTATTTGTCATAAAAGACGCAAAATGTATTATTTTGACCTCCATACAAAATACATGTACTAATTAAATCACTATAACTGTACTAACTGCCAAAAAGCAACAAAAGCAATAGAAAGTTACGGTAATTGGCCACTGAGAAATGTTTTAGAAACTAAATTAGGACAAATGCTGCGTGTTTGAGAAATAAAAATCAGTGCATTTCTTGGACATAGCAATATTAGACTGGGTTTAAATGAAACACTTATTCGATCGTTGATGACTGGCTCAAACTTGAAGCAAAAATAGAATTATTCGAAAATTACTTTCAGGTTACATTTAAAACGGAATCTCACGAGAAAAACGTGCTACGTGAAATATTCAGCGAGGAGTCCTTGCTAGAGAAGAGCAGAAAAAGTTTTAACGCTGACATGAGGATGTTTGCCATTATGTTTGAAGAGTCGCATATAACCGATAAAGACAGAAGAAATCCGAAATGAATCGATCATCTGCGCTCGGACGTCAACGCTTAATCATAACATTGGTGCTGACAGACTTGTTCATTAACCGTTAGCATAAATCAATGTTTGAATGTTGACAGACTTGTTCATTAACCGTTAGCATAAATCAGTGTTTGAATGTTGACAGACTTGTTCATTAAACGTTAGCATAAATCAATGTTTGAATGTTGACAGACTTGTTCATTAAACGTTAGCATAAATCAGTGTTTGAATGTTGACAGACTTGTTCATTAACCGTTAGCATAAATCAGTGTTTGAATGTTGACAGACTTGTTCATTAAACGTTAGCATAAATCAATGTTTGAATGTTGACAGACTTGTTCATTAAACGTTAGCATAAATCAATGTTTGAATGTTGACAGACTTGTTCATTAAACGTTAGCATAAATCAATGTTTGAATGTTGACAGACTTGTTCATTAAACGTTAGCATAAATCAATGTTTGAATGTTGACAGACTTGTTCATTAAACGTTAGCATAAATCAATGTTTGAATGTTGACAGACTTGTTCATTAAACGTTAGCATAAATCAATGTTTGAATGTTGACAGACTTGTTCATTAAACGTTAGCATAAATCAATGTTGGAATGTTGACAGACTTGTTCATTAAACGTTAGCATAAATCAATGTTTGAATGTTGACAGACTTGTTCATTAAACGTTAGCATAAATCAATATTGGAATGTTGACAGACTTGTTCATTAAACGTAGCATAAATCAATGTTACAACGTATCATAATCGTATATCACTTGACTGTTTAACAGAACTTGTTATAGATTGACTTAATCCAAGGCTACAAGGAACGCTGGGTATAAATGTATCTGCAGTATATACTGTACATATGTATATGTCAACTGCAGTATATACTGTACATATGTATATGTCAACTGCAGTATATACTGTACATATGTATATGTCAACATATCTTATATGCATTGCATCTTTATACATATTAAACAATCATGAGTAATTTATGAAATTTTATTGAAATTCAATTTCTTAAAATGCAAAAATATACTTGTCAAATTACGTTCATGCTGCGTACTAGGAAACACATTAGTTACAAAGATAGGACTTGGCCCACGACCCATGGGTTTTGAGGCACAAGTTTACCCGTTAAAGCAACGCTCCATTTAATAGGCACATTTATTTAATACAATAAGGTTATTTGTGTAACAATGCATTATTCCTTTACGCGACAGTAAAGCTTGTAGAACTTCGACTACAAGGAGTACTACTGTTGATACCATGTGTCAATTTTGAATTTTATTGACATAAACATAGTGAATTTGCACTTCTCTTTAGTTCAACTGGTACATATAATGGTACGATGATAAGCAACCAGTCGTCATACGTTTTTTTCTTTTTACTCAAAGTATGTTCGTCAAATATCTCAAACTTCGTCTGCGGACAGTTAAATGACAGGTTAAAAGAACTTGAAAGAAACAATTATTTTATATGTCTTTTTATTTCGTTTCTAAAAAAAATAATTTCAAAAGAAACAAAATTAATAATGGATATCAATTTGATGATAAAGAAGCAAAATTTCCTGTATATACAATTCAAATATATTATAGTAATATGTATACATCATATCAGATGTTCAATTTTCCACATGCCAGCATATTTTATCATGTTAAAAGATTCAGCGGTTAAGGTGTATTATCTCAACTCGTGGGTGGTAGGTTCGAGCCTAACTAAGGTCACCACATTGTTTCCTCATATTACACCAGTGCTGGTTAGATCCAGGAAGTATACACGAGAGATGTTCAAATAAGCTACATTTTTATCTTACAATCAAACTTATATTTATGAATATTTAAACTGAATCAGTAACATATTAAAGTAGCGTAAATATCATCCCAAAAGGTCTTGAACACTAAGCTATGTAGATAAATATCATAACGTGACAAACATGAGCAAATTTCTTCAAACAATTATTCGTGCAATATCGAAGATAAATGAGCCGCGTCACGACAAAACCAACATAATGGGTTTGCGACCAGCATGGATCCAGACCAGCCTACACATCCGCTTACCAAGTCTATTACAAGTAGAGAAACTGATAGTGAACAGCATTTAAAATAATTATAACACAAGTGTTTCCAATTACAGCTTACACACAAAATGCTCAAAAATGAAGCAAAAGATTCCCTCATTAAGTTCAATATTGTAAAAAGTATTTAAATTTGCCATGTATGTGTACAATGTATGAATATTTTTCAATAAACAAAATGATAATGAACAAATACTATGTATCATATTAAATACAAATATTTATATTTCTCAAGTATTAAAGCTGCACTTCTTCCAGCTGAGTGGTTGTTCATATGACACCAATAACCATTCATGACATTATATTGCATATTTTACAGAAAATATGAAATACTATTCTTATTATCATAATTATCTCTATTAAGTTACAAATAGATTCAGCATATATGGACTGGTTAAGAACATCTTTAATTATTTTTGTCATAAATAATTTGCACAAATCTGGAGGTGTGCAGCTTTAAAGACAAAATAAAACTACTACATTCATAACATTCACTCCATCTTGCTGGTGGCAACTAAAATTAACCATGCGATCTGTGCAGACAGTCAGTGCATGTTTTCAAAAATCTTCCCTAAAACTGATGAATGGTTTAGTTCAGATTAAAGGATGGGTAATGTTCGTTTAAGATATTGAGCATGATAATGGTTAAGTAAACATAGTCTCATGATCCCTACACTCACATATATTCTAATGCAGGCAGCTTTAATCATTGATCAAAAGTCAACATGGTTTACAAATCTATGTGCTTCAGAAATGTTGGGGCTGTTGATACTAAATACTTGACTAGATTAAAACATTTGTAGAATTTTTTTTCAGTCAGTAAAAACAATCAGCTGAATTATTTTGTCTGACCTTGAACATATTTACTTCAGGCAAGAGTAAGCACTCCGAGTAGTACCATCAACCACGGCTTTCATACATTTCATACACAAACTGCCTGAAATACTATGATAGTATATACAGGGATGTGTCTGAAAAGTAGTTCTTTGATATTTTTCTGGCAGTTTGTGTTATATGGGGTTATAATTTCAGTCATTTTATGATTATTTAAGGTGTCTCGGTGCCAGTGGTCACAAGAATGTAATGAAAACCTGGCTACAAGTTTAATCAAAGCAGATAAAATATAATGGGACTTTCACATCAGTGGAAATATTTTTAATATGCAGAGTACATGTTTATCCATGATTTAATTTGAAGCAAATGAGGGGAACATCTTTTTTGTTATCTTTCAAAACTGCAAGTCATTTTACATATTAATAATCTTAGAAGCATTCTTGCATATCAGTGCGGGTTAACAACTAGTTACACGGCAGCCAGTACGGACCGGAATATCTTGCCTCGTGTAAATGTTTAGGTCTTCACTGTTTGCTATTCAAAACCTACTTATTCATGAGGCATTACCCCTATAAACAGTTACCCTTGAGCTAGATAGTCTGGTCTGTACTGGCAGCAGGTGTAAGATCCTTTTATTGTTAAATCATATTGTTTACCAAGATTAAAATTTATAAATTATAAAATTTATAAACAGCAAAAATCTATTTGTTCATAAGAAAACATGTCACTAGCTTAAAGCAGATTTAATAATTTCTTTGAACATATATTTTGATACACTTTTACCAGGTCATGACAAGTCAGTGTTTCTATTAGAAACATGTTAAATTGGATTTAGAAATATTCAATGCATTTTTAGAGCCTGATGAGGTTACATAGATATGCAAGCTGGCCTGGCTTTATACAGAGGTGGCAAAGGCTGATTACTTTCAGTTCCTTTAGTTTATGGGTTATCCATCACAAACACCATCAAGAAACGAAAATGACATTGGACAGAACACATTGATAAATGTGTGTGCTGACCATTTCAAATAAGCAAATACTGAATAATATAATTCAAATTACAAATATTATGCAAGTAAGCATTTGTAAGTGTTTAAGATGAAAAATGACAAAAAATGAAAAATATTTTTTTTGAAATAACGTCCGCTGTCACTCTATAACTGTTGGTAGACATAATGACTTTCAGCTATACAAGAAGGTCTTAAACCACACATTTTTTATTAATGGCCAATTAAATTTAAGTATCTTCATTATCAACAACATAAAATTAACAACAAAAAGGCCCATATTTAAAGCAGGGCAAGCTCAGTACACAAGCCTAATTTAACTGAACATTATAATTGTTTCTTAAACAAGATATGTTTGTAAAACATGTATGCCCCCTATCAGCAGCCAATTATTCATGTGATAAGGTAATTATGCATGACTTCTGACCCAGTGATCAAACAATTAATAAGGGTTATCAAGTATCTACTGGTCATGACCTTGACCTTTGACCCCTTGACCCAAAACTCAATAGGGGTCATCTACTGATCATGACCAATCACCATATCAAGTTTGAAGTCCCTAGGCCTAAGGGTTCTTTCGTTATTGATCGGAAACTGTTTTTGCTTACAAGGTCAATGTGACCTTGACCTTTGACCACTTAACCCCAAAATCAATAGGGGTCATCTGTTGGTCATAACCAATCACCATACCAAGTTTGAAGTTCCTAGGCCTAAGGGTTCTTTTGTTATTGATCGGAAACCATTTTTTACCCAAATGGTCAATGTGACCTTGACCTTTGACCCCTTGACCCCAAAAATCGTTAGGGGTCATCTACTGATCATGACCAATCACCATACCAAGTTTGAAGTTCCTAGGCCTAAGGGTTCTTTACTTATTGATCGGAAACCGTTTTTGCTTACAAGGTCAATGTGACCTTGACCTTTGACCCCTTGACCCCAAAATCAATAGGGGTCATCTACTGATCATGACAAATCACCATACCAAGTTTGAAGTTCCTAGGCCTTAAGGTTCTTTAGTTATTGATCGGAAACCGTTTTTTACCTACAAGGTCAATGTGACCTTGACCTTTAACCCCTTAACTCCAAAATCAATAGGGGTCATCTACTGATCATGACCAATCACCAATATCAAGTTTGAAGTCCCTAGGCCTAAGGGTTCTTTCGTTATTGATCGGAAACTGTTTTTGCTTACAAGGTCAATGTGACCTTGACCTTTGACCCCTTGACCCCAAAAATCAATAGGGGTCATCTACTGATCATGACCAATCACCATATCAAGTTTGTAGTCCCTAGGCCTAAGGGTTCTTTCGTTATTGATCGGAAACCGTTTTTACCTACAAGGTCAATGTGACCTTGACCTTTGACCACTTAACCCCAAAATCAATAGGGGTCATCTGCTGGTCATAACCAATCACCATACCAAGTTTGAAGTTCCTAGGCCTAAGGGTTCTTTTGTTATTGATCGGAAACCGTTTTTACCCAAATGGTCAATGTGACCTTGACCTTTGACCCCTTGACCCCAAAATCGTTAGGGGTCATCTACTGATCATGACCAATCACCATACCAAGTTTGAAGTTCCTAGGCCTAAGGGTTCTTTACTTATTGATCGGAAACCGTTTTTTGCTTACAAGGTCAATGTGACCTTGACCTTTGACCCCTTGACCCCAAAATCAATAGGGGTCATCTACTGATCATGACAAATCACCATACCAAGTTTGAAGTTCCTAGGCCTTAAGGTTCTTTAGTTATTGATCGGAAACCGTTTTTGCTTACAAGGTCAATGTGACCTTGACCTTTGACCCCTTGACCCCAAAATCAATAGGGGTCATCTACTGATCATGACAAATCACCACCATACCAAGTTTGAAGTTCCTAGGCCTTAAGGTTCTTTAGTTATTGATCGGAAACCGTTTTTTGCTTACAAGGTCAATGTGACCTTGACCTTTTGACCCCTTGACCCCAAAATCAATAGGGGTCATCTACTGATCATGACAAATCACCATACCAAGTTTGAAGTTCCTAGGCCTTAAGGTTCTTTAGTTATTGATCGGAAACCGTTTTTGCTTACAAGGTCAATGTGACCTTGACCTTTGACCCCTTGACCCCAAAATCAATAGGGGTCATCTACTTGTCATGACCAATCACCATACCAAGTTTGAAGTTCCTAGGCCTAAGGGTTCTTTAGTTATCACTCGGAAACCATTTGGTCTACGGACCGACGGACCGACGGACCGACAAGTGCAAAGCAATATACCCCCTTTTTTTCAAAAGGGGGCATAATAAAGCCATAATGTCACTTTCTCATTTTCTTCAACAAAAAAGTTTGTTTCTGAAATTGCATCATTCATTAACTTGTATAAATTCATGTTTTGTCATATATTTCAATTGAAAAATGGTTCATCTTCAAAGCTGTTTTGCTACTTTAAGTTAAATCTGAATTTTTTCCCCCTAAGGCATGGAGTGTTGTATGATTATTATTATTTCTTGTTTGGTTTTATGTTGCATTAACACAGCAACTTTTTAGCTTTACTAGTAATGGAAAACCTAAGGTACCCCTCCATGAATTTTTTCAGGCATGAATGGGCACCAGAGTAGAACCATCAACGTTCTGTAAGCTAGCTGGATAGCTTTTTTTCACATGAAAGAAACTGAAGTCCCTGGTGGGAAACTTATGATGGATATATAAATAGTTCTAAAGTATTTACAGAAAAACATCACATAAAGAAAACGCATGTAAAGGAAACTTAAATAATGATAAAGCTGTTATAAGTTCATTCAATATGCCTGATAGCTGGAAATCAAACACAAGTGGCAATGTTTTTATAATTTTTTCATGATCTCTTACACTTGCATTCTGTATACTCTGGAGTCATCGCAAATCAAGGTAAATGATTTTCTGAAGAAATCCTCACCATAATGTTGAAAAATAATTTCTTGCCCAAAATTTAACTGTAAAGTTTTTTCCACAGTTTTATTTAGTTGCCACCAAGTTGATGGCCGCCACCACCCCATCTATGTCTACCAGGGTCATTGTCATCATTATTTGGGCGTCGCTGACTAGCTGGGGCTTGTCCAAACCCTGCCACACCCCCTCGTCTATTGGGAAAATATTTGTAACTGAAACAATACCAATAATTAGATTAATAATTTCATACAAAATTGTGTCATGATTTATTAGATGAATAATTAAGACCAACATAGGTTTTATTCGCCTGACAAAGCACAATATCAATGTTTCATTCATCAAGTACTGGAATTCTTTTTACAGGTATGCAACTGAAAAATAAAATATCAATTTTACAGGAGAGTAAAAAAATCTCAAGCTCAATCTTGTTGCCTGCTTCCTTTACATGTGTATATTTATGTTTGTTAACCTTGCCACTAGAAAAATTACCATACAGGGTTCCCATGCTGTCCGGGAAAACGGGAAATGTCCGTGAATTTCAAAACAGGAGCTCCCGGCCTTGAAAAGTCCGGGAATTAGTGTTGAAACATAAACAAGAGGGCCATGATGGCCCTGAGGTTGCTCACCTGTATATAGGCCCCCCACCCCCGGGCCAATTTTTACCCAAGGGCTTTTATTTGTTTATTTGAACAGACTTGGTAGACACCCATAAGAAGATGTTTCATGCTAAACATCTAAGTTCTAGCTCGATGGCTTTTTTAAAAGAAGATTTTTAAAGTTTTTACTATACACATATAGTTAAAAACAATGTCACCCCTGGGGCAGGGCCAGTTTTAACCCCCGGGCGTTTATTTTAACAAACTTTGTAGATATTTACTAAAAGATGTTTCATGCTATCTATAATATCTAAACTCTAGCTATTTGGGCTTTTCCAAAGAAGATTTTTAAGTTTTTGCTATACACATATAAGGAAAATCAATGACCCCCCCCCCCCTGGGGGGACCAGTTTTGACCCCAGGGCTTATATTTGAACATACTTGGTAGACACCCATTAAAAACATGTTTCATGCTAAATATCTTAGCTCTAGCTCTTTGAGTTCTTTAAAAGAAGATTTTTTAAGTTTTTACTATATGCATATAGGGAAAATCAATGACCCCCTGGGGCGGGGCCAATTTTGACCCCAGAGCTTTTATTTGAACAAACTTGGTAGACACTCATTAGAAGATGTTTCATGCTAAATATCTTAGCTCTAGCTCTTTGGGTTCTTTTTAAAGAAGATTTTTTAAGTTTTTACTATATGCATATAGGGAAAATCTATGACCCCCTGGGGCAGGGTCAATTTTGACCCCAGGGCTTTTATTTGAACAAACTTGGTAGACATTCACTAGAAGATGTTTCATGCCAAATATCTAAGCTCTAGCTCTTATGGTTCTTTAAAAGAAGATTTTTTAAGTTTTTACCATATGCATATAGGGAAAATCAATGACCCCCGGGGCGGGGCCAATTTTGACCCCAGGGCTTTAATTTGAACAAACTTGGTAGACACTCACTAGAAGATGTATCATGCTTAATATCTTAGCTCTAGCTCTTTGGGTTCTTTAAAAGAAAATTTTTTAAGTTTTTACTATATGCATATAGGGAAAATCTATGACCCCCTGGGGCGGGGTCAATTTTGACCCAAGGGCTTTTATTTGAACAAACTTGGTAGACATTCACTAGAAGATGTTTCATGCCAAATATCTAAGCTCTAGCTCTTATGGTTCTTTAAAAGAAGATTTTTTAAGTTTTTACTATATGCATATAGCGAAATTCAATGACCCCCAGGGCGGGGCCAATTTTGACCCCAGGGCTTTAATTTGAACAAACTTGGTAGACACTAACTAGAAGATGTTTCATGCTTAATATCTTAGCTCTAGCTCTTTGGGTTCTTTAAAAGAAGATTTTTTAAGTTTTTACTATATGCATATTGGGAAAATCAATGACCCCCTGGGTCTGGGCCAATTTTGACCCCAGGGCTTTTATTTGAACAAATTTGGTAGACATTCACTAGAAGATGTTTCATGCCAAATATCTAAGCTCTAGCTCTTACGGTTCTTTAAAAGAAGATTTTTTAAGTTTTTTACTATATGCATATAGGGAAAATCAATGACCCCCAGGGGCAGGGCCAATTTTGACCCCAGGGCTTTTATTTGAACAAACTTGGTAGACACTCACTAGAAGATGTTTCATGCCAAATATCTAAGCTCTAGCTCTTATGGTTTTTTAAAAGAAGATATTTAAAGTTTTTTCTTTTGGTTGCCATGGCAACCAGAGTTCTGCATGGAATTAAATTCTTTGAACAATTTTTAAAGGTGGCCACCAAAGGAACATTCCTGTGAAGTTTGGATGAAATTGGCTCAGTGGTTTATGAGGAGTTGTCATTTAAAGCAAAAGTTTACGGACGGACGCCGGACGGACGCCGGATGGACGCCGGACGAAAAGCGATCACAAAAGCTCACCCTGTCACTTTGTGACAGGTGAGCTAAAAAGTCCGGGAAGGTACGGGAATTAGTCTGGAAAAGGGGAGGTAAATCAAACAACCAAAATGGCGGTCTTAGCACAGTATATAGACTTCCACATCTTGAATGTTGATGATTTTTCGATTAACTAGTGTTTTGGGAGGCCAAGTTTGACATTTATGAGATTAAACATTTATTTTCTGGTTACTATGTTGGTTTTGTTTGGAAAATCTGATAAGACAGTCACAAATCGACCTCAAGTTTGCTTGATTCAGTGCTCAAAGCACATGAAAAAGATGAAAGCTCACAAGTCTGGTTGTTTCCTTGGGTATTTTTTTTTATAATGAAAGTTGTGAAATTTTGAATGTAGGAACACCTGCAGGCAGTTTTTATATACCCTTCAGTGTGACATGCTTTTGCCATTCTATGAAGCCTGAGACCAAATGTCAGGTTACTTATTAAAGTACTATGAATATCTGGTAAAAAAGTGACCCCTTGGAAGCATTACAAACAGCAAAATTACATGAAAATTGCAGACAACCTGCAAAAACAGTGGCTGTTACAAAGTACATTTCATTATTTATAGACACTGAATGTATTTCTTAGATAGAGTTAGATTTATGTCATGAACTACATGTATTATATTGGTGTTATTAAATGTTGTTCTAAACATTACCATGAAGATATTTATAGGACAAAAAATAGCTTGAAAATTAATCTTCTAAAAAGTCCTTAAAAAATCCAAACAAGAGCACCGCTAGGCGGAGCATAATATGCCCGAAAGTGTTTTTTTTTCTTTACTAAGGATGAAGCATTTGTAAGACATTACATAAATTAAATAAAGTATTACCTCCTTCAAATAGCAATCCTCCTATAAAGTTTGAATATTGTGGGCCAAATGGAACTTCAGTTATGCTCTGGAAACTGTTTTTAGTTTTGAGGTAATAGCTACCTTGAACTTTGACCGTGTGACCCCAAAATCAATAGGGGTCTTCTACCCAATATGGACAATCATCCTATGAAGTTTCAACACTATGGGCCAAATAGAAAGTAAGTTATGTTCTGGAAACTTTTTTCAGTTTCAAAGTAATAGTGACCTTGACCTTTGACCTTGTGACCCCAAAATCATATAGGGTCTCCTACCAATATGGACAATCATCATATGAAGTTTGAACACTGTCAGCCAAATGGAACTTAAGTTATGTTCCGGAAACTGTTTTAAGGTCATAGTGACCTTGACCTTTGACCTTGTGACCCAAAATCAATAGGGGTCTTCTACCCAATATGGACAATCATCCTATGAAGTTTGAACACTGTCGGCCAAATGGAACTTAAGTTATGCTCCGGAAACTGTTTTTTTAGTTTTAAGGTCATAGTGACCTTGACCTTTGACCTTGTGACCCCAAAATCAATAGGGGTCTTCTACCCAAATGGACAATCATCCAATGAAGTTTGAACACTGTCGGCCAAATGGACCTTAAGTTATGCTCCGGAAACGGTTTTCAGTTTTAAGGTCATAGTGACCTTGACCTTTGACCTTGTGACCCCAAAATCAATAGGGGTCTTCTACCCAATATGGACAATCATCCTATGAAGTTTGAACACTGTGGGCCAAATGGAACTTAAGATATGCTCCGGAAACTGTTTTCAGTTTTAGGGTCATAGTGACCTTGACCTTTGACCTTGTGACCCCAAAATCAATAGGGGTCTTCTACTCAATATGGACAATCATCCTATGAAGTTTGAATGTTGTGGGCCAAATGGAACTTAAGTTATGCTCCGGAAACCAAATTGCTAACGGACGGACAGACGGACGGACGGATAGACAGACGGACGGACGGACGGACGGACGGACAGACGCCCGGGGGTATAACATAATATGCCCGAAATTCTTTCGGGCATATAAAAAGGTCCTTGATAAGTCCTGGAAAAGTCCTTAAATTTTAAAAATATCTAAGAGTGGGAACCCTGTACCATAGGGGTGAGCATACATAATTATATATATAGATATATATGTTTTCCTGTTTTTTTGTTTAATCTGAAATGAGTTCATAGCAACAAAGAAAATATCACAGGGCTTGCAGTAGGATAATTACTCCAGTTGACCGAATGTGCATTATTTTAGGCAAGCACCTGGGTCCAAACTCAATAATTTTTAAATAATGTTGGTACATAAGATAAAATCAGTGAAAAAGGGAGAATAAAACAAGTTATCCAGACAGAGTTATGTCCTCTTTATCTATGCAATCTGTTACAATGCTAAGTGTAAAGCAAACACTATTTTTTAAACAATTGAATGTTTAATTCAAATGTGTGATAAAACCAGAGCTCAAAGCAACCTTGGCATACCTAAATAATTTTTTAATGAATGTAACTAAATAGTGTGACAATCATCTCAAGAGAACCAAAAAACTTACAGTATTTGAGGAGTATTTAGCAGTCTTACACCTCCGAAATCCTGTGGATATTTGAACATAAGGAAGAAATACATGTGGCCAACAACGATACCAACAAGTTCCATCAAACCCCTGCAATGATATATACAACAACATTAATAAATCATTATATACCAGGTAACAGATTTGTTCATCTTTCAATTCTTTCAATCGCTAAAATGACAACCTCTCAATAGTGAATATCAGTAAAATATCTATAATTCAATACTGTATTTTAATGACTCAAATACTATATCCTCTAGCTATTTTTACAAGTATTTGAACAGACATAGATAGACTTTAAGTACACCATAGCATGTATCAACCTTGTATCAATTACACATTATCCAATTATCTTATGCAATTAGGGAGGGAGCATCAGATTGTAATCCAGGGGTGCTGGTTTGATCCACGTGTGAGGCGTAATTTGTCTGAGAAATTCATCCGTTTCAAAAATAATGGTAGTCAGTCACTTGCTGAGAAATTATAACTGGTTAGTTATCCCGAAAAGTGGGTAACGGTAAGGTTGATCCAATGCCAAGAGCCCAAGATATGACAAAAAATGTGTGAAAATTTTCTTTGTATTGTCTCTCTAGCAATTTAAGGAGACATATTTTAAAATCGCCAGTCCTACCAATCAATACCAAAGCTAAAAACTTACCCTCCACCAACAATCATGTTGAAAGCTAACAGCACCCATGGTAAGTACATCGCCTGTAAAACCATAAATCCATGAGGACTACATGCAAAATGTAAGTATAGCAAATAATCTATTTAAAGAAAATATCGAAAGATTACTTACTGAAAGGTGAAAAATTAGGACTGTGTCTGTAACAAAATTATCATCTGAATATTTATATCATATATTTATTACATAGTTACAATTTAAGCCTTGCAAAATATAGTACATTGTTTTTTAACAGATTACCATGGTAACAAATGCCATGACAACACTCACACACAGTGATCCATAAACATTTTTGACAGAAAATCTTTAATCAAGTTTCTTCTATCTTAATTCAATACTTACTGTATACATGTTTTCTGTTTATTTCTTACCTTAAACCGTGTGCCAAACCAAAATGACACGATAGTATCTTTGTTCAGTTGACACCAAACATATAAAACACTTAATATCATAGGGTCCATCAAAAGCTGAAATATAAACATGCACACTGATAAAACACAAGTTTATAAAAGTATGAAAAAAAGATTTAAGTCAAATCTTTATTCTTTACCCATATTTTATTTTTAAGTGATATATTAAAGGTTGTATGACGACTTTCATGCTATTCTGGTTCATGGTAACCTAACTTAAAAACTGACATACAATAAATTTAATGATGTATGAAAGATTTCACTGTCCTTGGCAGAAGACTATAGGGCACAAAAGAAGATTAACCATCTAGCTATAGATGTGTCTAGTCCTCTACTTATTCTTTCTTTTTTCTTAAAATTTAACTCAATATTCTCAAAGAAAATTCTGTCTAAAGTTTTAACTGTATAAATGTTGGAAATTAGGAATTAATATAATATATATTAGTCAGAAATATATCACAAAAGAACTTATAAAGACAATTGTGTACAAGGAAGTGGTTTTAATAACAAGTAAATCTTACCATTAAATCAGCACAAAATCCTATTATCTGTTGAAAAGTTAAGAAAATCTATCCACTTTGTAAAATAAACAAAATATCTAACAAACTTATTTCTCATGGATGAATGACTTATATTACTACCCCATTTACATGATTTTTTTTCACATAGAGAAACTACCAAAAATTGCCACGGAAACAGTTAAATAAGTTTTGAACATACTACAAGAGAAACAATCAATCTCAAAATAAAAGTGTCCTGGGCTCACTTGAGACAATATATACAGCATTCAATCGACTGATTATAATATATAATGAAATTTATATGAAGATATTTTTTTTTATATTTTACAATTTCACACGAAAGGATACCACCAGACACAGCCAGTTAAATAACAACATGAACACATACTCTGCTGGCTTTCCATCAAAGATTCCTGCAAAACATTTTAATATACAATATACATAACAGTTCTAAATGCCATTATAAACATAGATAGCCACAATAAACATAGATAGCAAATATACCAAAGTATAATGTACAATATTGGTGTGTGACTGAAGATGTATTCATATGTATATCAAGTAATTCAAATGAGAGTAATCAGTATACAATCATTACATGTTCCAATGATTAATTTATCTATTCTAAGGGTCTGTTTCTTTAAATAATAATGGGCATGCAAAAACGTTTTTTTACAAAGTAAATGATGAACAAAACTAAAAAGGAAGAACATATAGTTTACCTGTTTCAAGTCTTGTAGAATAAGAATAGAGGAAATATAAGTTTATAAGGTAATGAAACCCTTTTGGTCCTGCAATTGGATAATACAACACCGATGTCACCAAACGCCATATCTGAAATATTTCTTGAAACATAAACATTGGAATAAAAAAGTAATATGGTAAAGTCAAAGGCTGGGACGACTTTGTGGTCCTGGTCTTTGGCTTGCATGGCTATAGACTGCATGTGTATATTGAAAAGGAAATCAAAATAAAACAACAATTAAAAATATATAAAATTCTATACCAATCAGTGAAATTGACAGTATCAATTTTAATTGGACGCAACCATTTTTAATGTAACTCAATGATAAACACCGGGGTATTTTGATAACAGAAGAACTGCAACTTTTCGGCTAAAAAATAATCACAGAGGTATTCCAATTGAAATTGGTCTATAAAATACCGATTGACACTTTCGAAAATAAAGAAGAGAACAAAATATGTTTATCTGACTCCCTCGTTCATAGGTTTTGCTTACTTTCATATTAAGAAGTCAGTATGAAGTCAAAATTTTGTGAAAAAAAAAATCAGAAAAAAAAATCAGATAGATCTAGATCTAATCATAAATCTATAATTCAATCATTAATTACATCAGTTACATTTTCAGTTTAAAAAATTAAACAAAAATAACACTTACCTGAAATTTATATATGACAGGTTCAAACAGAAGAATAAGATACATTGGATTAAGGAGACCAAATCTTGCAGCTATTGGAACAATCACTGATCCTGTGAACCAATATTTTGATATTTGAGGAATTCCTCGGTACCAATCACCAATATCATTAGACGCCATCTTCCAATACTACCACTTAGATGTATATATATAAATGACAGTGTCTTCGAAACTGAATCACAAGTAAAATAGATGAATATACTTTGACGTGGCCTTTCTAAATTTTCTGCAAATTTCACCGGAAGTAAACACAGATTGGTGTCTTGAGAAAAATCTAACTTGTGAAATTTAAAATGAATCGTAGGTGAAACAACGCTAAATCTTTTCCTTCTTTGACATACGTTTCATAAACAACACCAAACATGCCAATAATATGAAATTAGGCAAAGCCTATGAACGGGGAAGTCGTTAAAAATCCTTTCATTCTTTCCGTTTTAAAGGTGTCATTCGATATTACATACACCGCTTCCGTTTTCACTCGGAACACTCGACGATTATTACGGGGAAGTCAAAGACCGGGCCCGCGAAGCGGGTCCGGGCTTTGGCTTGCCCGGCTATAGACTACACGTGTATATTTAAAAGAAATTCAAATAAAAAAGAATTAAAAAATATATAGAATTCTATTCCTACCAATGAAATTTTCAGTGTCAGTTTTAGTCGGGCGCCGCCATTTACAATGTAACTCAATGATAATAGGCGGGGTATTCCGGTAACGGAACAAATCTCAACTTTTCGGATAAATAAAAAATGCCGAGTGTTCCGAGTGAAAACGGAAGCGGTGCATGTAATACGGGGAAGTCAAAGTCAGGGCCCGCGAAGCGGGCCCGGGCTTTGGCTTGCCCGGCTATAGACTACACGTGTATATATAAAAGAAAATTCAAATAAAAAACAATTAAAAAATATATAGAGTTCTATACCTATCAATGAAATTTTCAGTGTCAGTTCCAGATAGGCGCTGCCATTTACAATGTAACTCAATGATAAAAGGCGGTGTATTCCGATAACGTAACATATCTCAACTTTTCGGATTAATAATAATCGTCGAGTGTTCCGAGTGAAAACGGAAGTGGGTATATATAATATACTTATACTTATACCTTTATTAAAATATCAAATTACTTTTTTGAGTGGTACTCTAGACCAAGGTCTATATGGCATAAATATCATGAAAATTAAACTAAACTTGCAACTTTAATACGGGGAAGTCAAAGACGGGCCCGCGAAGCGGGTCCGGGCTTTGGCTTGCCCGGCTATAGACTACACGTGTATATTTAAAAGAAAATCAAATAAAAAACAATTAAAAAATATATAGAATTCTATACCTATCAAAGAAATTTTCAGTGTCAGTTCTAGTCGGGCGTCGCCATTTACAATGTAACTCAATGATAATAGGCGGGGTATTCCGATAACGGAACAAATCTCAACTTTTCGGATTAGTAATAATTGTCGAGTGTTCCGAGTGAAAACGGAAGCGGTGCATGTAATACCGAATGACACCTTTACAACGGAAAGAATGAAAGGATTTTTTAACGACTTCCCCGTTCATAGGCTTTGCCTAATTTCATATTATTAATCCGAAACGTTGAGATTTGTTCCGTTATCGGAATACACCGCCTTTTATCATTGAGTTACATTGTAAATGGCAGCGCCTAACTAGAACTGACACTGAAAATTTCATTGATACGGGGAAGTCAAAGACCGGGCCCGCGAAGCGGGTCCGGGCTTTGGCTTGCCCGGCTATAGACTACACGTGTATATTTAAAAGAAAATCAAATAAAAAACATTTAAAAAATATATAGAATTCTATACCTATCAATGAAATTTTCAGTGTCAGTTCTAGTCGGGCGCCGCCATTTACAATGTAACTCAATAATAAAAGGCGGGGTATTCCGATAACGGAACAAATCTCAACTTTTCGGATAAATAATAAACGTCGAGTGTTCCGAGTGAAAACGGAAGCGGTGCATGTAATACCGAATGACAATTTTAAAACGGAAAGAATGAAAGGAATTTTTTTACGACTTCCCCGTTCATAGGCTTTGCCTAATTTCATATTAGGTATAGAATTCTATATATTTTTTAATTGTTTTTTATTTGATTTTTCTTTAAAATATACACATGTAGTCTATAGCCGGGCAAGCCAAAGCCCGGGCCCGCTTCGCGGGCCCGGACTTTGACTTCCCCGTAATATGAAATTAGGCAAAGCCTATGAACGGGGAGGTCGTTAAAAAATTCCTTTCTTTCTTTCCGTTTTAAAATTGTCATTCGGTATTACTTGCACCGCTTCCGTTTTCACTCGGAACACTCGACGATTATTACTAATCCGAAAAGTTGAGATTTGTTCCGTTATCGGAATACCCCGCCTATTATCATTGAGTTACATTGTAAATGGCGACGCCCGACTAGAACTGACACTGAAAATTTCTTTGATAGGTATAGAATTCTATATATTTTTAAATTGTTTTTTATTTAATTTTCTTTTAAATATACACGTGTAGTCTATAGCCGGGCAAGCCAAAGTCCAGGCCCGCGAAGCGGGCCCGGTCTTTGACTTCCCCGTATTAAAGTTGCAAGTTTAGTTTAATTTTCATGATATTTATGCCATATAGACCTTGGTCTAGAGTACCACTCAAAAAAGTAATTTGATATTTTAATAAAGGTATAAGTTCAATTGAATATTTGAACATGCCAATCGTGATCAAGGGATTAAGTCATGTATGTATGTATGTACAACGCCGATAAAAGCCCGTACGAACAGATAACATTTGATCTTCAGGGTAATGAATAAAATTATTTCTGTATAACAAAGAAAGCCTAGGAAACATTTGAAAAGCGCCAGACTGTGTGGTATGCACATACAATCTGTTAAAAAAATCGTTGACATATTACTAATATGAAAGAGGCAAAGCCTCAAAGCGAGCTCGATGTACTTTTGACATGAAATAGTATGAAACAATCGCTCATTTTCATTTCAAATGCAGTAACGAGTGCGTGTGGCGTCACACGTACTGTGTTAAATATGGCTCCGCCCCTGTCGTGAAATGAAAAACGAGTTTTGAAAACTTTGTTTATTTTATTTCACTCTATAATTTTTCAAGCGAAATAAAGATTATTTAAAGTGAAATAAATGTAAAACTTAAAACGTTTGCGACATTAAAATAGCGTACTTGATTTGTTTGTTTTGCACGTGTTGTTTTGAGCTACATTGTGACGTCACGTAAGCAATACTTTAAACGTCTGTACAGCGTTAACGACTGAATAAAAGATATTGGTGTTCGGATTCATTTTCTTAGTTAGACCATTTTCTTTCATTCTAGATAGTTTTCACAACAAAATTCGACAAAAAATTGTTTATTTTTTATCAGATTTTTTAAACAAAATGGCGCCTTCAATTTACAATTTTATACACAGCTTCCGTTATTCTGGTTCCCTGTCCAATTATGGTTCCCATAGACGTGCGCGGGTGACCAGTCTACACATCCGTTTTCAGTCAGAATTCCTCAGTTTTTATCCTTATCTTTAAATTCGAAAGGTTGCGATGTGTCCAATTCGGTACTTCGGACGAAAGTTTTCAAAACCATCACTTAGCAGGTACTCGCGTTACCGTAAAGCTCGCTTTGCGAGCAGGCCCTTCGGGCCAGCTCGTCGAGCTCGCTATAACAAGTACTAGCGGCAGACTGTAAACTGTGCCAAATATACGGGAAAACGCCCCTGAGAGCATCCTAGAATTAAAAAAAAAATCCGGGGGAGCATGCCCCCGTACCCCCCTAGATGCTGGCTAAAACCAACTTAATTAACTGGCCAATCGTGACGACGGGCCTGTACATTCGGAACTTTGCCTGTTTCGGACCAAATGTTATATTTCTCTCCCCTTATCTGTACTACGCCATTTTGTTCATATTTAATCACGTATTTGATTATACTATTGTTGGTTGGTACTGGCGAAGCGTTACAAGGAGACAGCCATAAACACACCAAGAATGCCAAGCTGACCAAATTTCAAGAGAAAATCGAAGAAAACAGTTTGGATGGGGGGTTTTCCAGGACATTTTCACGACCATCAAAAAACTGTACAGTGCAAACAAGATACGCTATGAATATGGCAAAGCATCGAAACGAACTCTTTGGCATAATCTACTTAAGGGCTTTCATTATAAGAAGTAAGGACAAATAGATAAAACCAACACCATTTTAAATATCAATACATGTTTCGCTTTATTAGCTTCGTCAGTTGATACATAAAACAGGAAATGACGTAAACGTACCAAACACACGTCTATGTTAATAGACGCCACGTTTGGCACGTAAAAGAAAAAGTATTATATTATAATTAAATAAAATATATAAACATAAGAAGCTAAAATTCAATTTAATATTTTATCGAGCATCTAAACTTTTCACCAAATTTATTTTCTCAAATATCTATCTGTAATATGATCGAAGTTAAGTGTATCCCACTGTAATTTGATGAAAAGTATATTCTTGCATGGGGACGTTACATTATATTCAATTTAGAAACTACACAGTCCATTTAAAATTGGTCAAAGTAAGACAAGCTATGATTCAACTGTGTCGTTTATTTGACTTAAAACCATAATATCGTCGTTCATTTGATTTAAAACCACGTCCAAACAAAGCTCCAGATATTTATTGGGAAAAAACATACATAAATACAAAAATAACAAAGATTATAGACATTTATATCATTCAAAAGACATCAAATATTTCTTTGGTCCAGAAACTTGACAATTTTTATATGACTAATTTTCAGAATTTATTTATCAAAATGTGTTTGATATTTTTTAACACAGATCTACTTCATAATTTATTTCATAAAACATAATGAATTTAAGATAAAGGAAAACATACTGTTAAAATGATTATCAGTAATTTAATAGACACAACAATCAAAGATGTTCACAATCTATGGTCATTACCCTAATTCCACCGCACTCAATAATTTCCCAAATGTCAAAATCTAATTAGTTGCAAGTTCTGTAAATGAATAGCAGCACATATAAAACACATCATTAACAAGAATCATCTCATTTTCTATATATAAACAAAACTTTAATGACATAATATCGACCACAATACAAACGTTACACAAATATTAAGAATAGTATGACAGCAGATATATTATATAATAGCAGATATGCTATGCTCAAATTTAACATTAAAAAAAATGATAATTGCTCCACTATCTCCTTGAATATATAAAATAAACGTGTTTTGTCTTCACGAAAAGTATATAA